CACAGAGAAACCACCCGATTTTGTTACTTGGTAATGTATATAGAGCACCAGAAAGCTCACAATTTGCTGACAAAGATTTTTTCGATACTTTAGAATCTGAAATGTTAATTTATACCAGTAAATATGAGTGCAATGTTATAATTGCAGGAGATTTTAATGGTAGAACAGGTTGCAAATCTGATGGTTTAATTTAAATTAAACTAATTGTCCTTTTGTGTTTTTCTGTGTTCTGTTTCCATGTTTCACACATTTTATCACTATTGACATCTTTAATTCCGCAACCAGTGGCTATAAACTATTGTTATATAAAATAAAATGTGAACTGTGTTCATCACAAAAGTGATGTTACTTATTATTGCATATGTAATATATTATGAAGTTATGTATGTATAAAAGCAATATGATGATTGTAGTAACTGACACATGCGTTCCCTTACTGTCATACTTTGCATACTTTCCTGTATTCTCATGATTAACCTTATTTTTATACGTTTCTTTCCAGTTTCCTTTCAGTTTGTGTTTGTGCATCTTAAATAAACAAAGGAAAGTGTTTGAAAGTCATGTAAATATGACACACTATTTCCAAATAAGAAAAATGCATTTCCAAATAAGACAAATACATTTGTAACACTTGCATCGTTTTTGGTTGGATGTATAGAGGTGCACCAGTCTGGTGCAGTTACATGAACTTTTTTCTAGTTGCATAAGCCCCAACATACAGCAAACTTTGAGTGTTCAGGAAAATAAGTACATTTGAATCAAAGTTGCTGTTTTTTTTAATTTCAAGTGAAGCACTCTATTTGATATCTAGACTCAGATATTCTGGTAAACATACATGTATATCTCCAATAATAGTGTATCTTGGAGCAACTATGCATATGTTCTGCATTCATTTCATGTTGAGAAAATACTATATATAACCATCTAAATTGTAATGATTTTATCATAAAACTATTTTTTGTGTTCATACAGTGCAATTACAGCAACAGCCGATGCCAACAAGTGTTGCTGAGTACAAGAATCATCCCTTGTAAGTAAACATCAATTCATCATAAAATAGACAATCCTAAATCTCTATTGATTTAAATATATATGCCACCAAATGTTCCCACATCTATCTGTGACATTATAAACTCAGATTTGTCAATCTTTATAAAGAACAAATTTATAGATTTAAACTCGATGGTGTGCTCATTCAAACTCAATGGTCGAATTTGTTTTTGTAACATTGTAACAGTTTATTAATTACATGTATTATGGTTTATAATAGGTAGATGAAAGCACTATATTGAAAGATATCTGATTGTGTGTTTGAAAACTTCACTTTTTACATTTAATTAATAATTCTTAACTACATTATATTATGCCATATTCCAAAATAATTACAACTGCTATTATTTAGATATGCCCTGAAGAGACATTTGTTGAAGTTTGAAGGATTTTATCCTGAAAATCCAAAAGTGTTGGGATTCTGTAGAGGAGAGCCAGTCTATGCCAGAGAATGTGTTCATACGGTAAGCACTATATTGAATATAGCACTATATTGAAAAACTAACATATGAGAAAGAAGATGGGATATGCTAGTTTTGTAACCACAGTTGTAACAGAGAAACGTTCAGCCAATCATATTGCTCTTTCTATCTTCAATATGGCTTTTGCACAACTTGTTGTTATTTTTGCATCACTCATTTGTAACTTGAAAATCACATACTTGTATCACACATTTTAATATAAAAATACTCTACCACTATGCAAATGGTTCTAGTCGATGTAGATAGAATATGATATAATAGTTGTGACAGACATAATTAGATATCTTATCTTTATGTTGAAATTTTTCCCCAGCTGCACTCTTGAATAATTGAAGCAATATTGTTTTTATAATCATCACAAAATGTACACATAGAGCCTGCCATATATGATATCTTGATATATGCCATATATGCCATATATGATATTTGTAACAATAAAGTGGTTATTGGTTGATAATTTTGCTATCTCGTCCAATCAATTACAACTAACATACAAGCACTCGAATAGAGTTACTGCACAGGTACATGGAAGAGAAATATTGAATATGGATACAAAACCTTGGGATTGGACAATGTGAAGCCAATATTAATTGATATTAATATTAAATTGTTGTTTTATTTTCAGTTACATACCAGAGAGACATGGTTGAAAGAAGGACGTGTAGTAAGAGTGGGTGAAAAGCCTTATAAGCTGGTGAAAGCTCGGCCCAAACCAAAAAAGGTATTAATTTAATAAAATCAAATGCAATTGTAGTGTTGTCTTGCTCTGAATACTCTGTAACCTTATTATAATAAACTTTTTAGGGAACATACATTGAGTTTGTTATAGTGAAGTGTTCACTGTAATGAAGCACATACCGGTAATACATTTTGTTTGTTATAGTGAAGTGTTCACTGTAATGAAGCACATAATACATTGGGTTTGTTATAGTGAAGTGTTCACTATAATGAATCACATAATACATTGGGTTTGTTATAGTGAAGCGTTCACTATAATGAAACACATAATACATTGGGTTTGTTATAGTGAAGTGTTCACAATAATGAAACACATAATACATTGGGTTTGTTATAGTGAAGTGTTCACAATAATGAAACACACATAATACATTGGGTTTGTTATGGTGAAGTGTTTACTATAATGAAGAACATAATACATTGGGTTTGTTATAGTGAAGTGTTCACTATAATGAATCACATAATACATTGGGTTTGTTATAGTGAAGCGTTCACTATAATGAAACACATAATACATTGGGTTTGTTATAGTGAAGTGTTCACAATAATGAAACACATAATACATTGGGTTTGTTATAGTGAAGTGTTCACAATAATGAAACACACATAATACATTGGGTTTGTTATGGTGAAGTGTTTACTATAATGAAAAACATAATACATTGGGTTTGTTATAGTGAAGTGTTCACTATAATGAATCACATAATACATTGGGTTTGTTATAGTGAAGTGTTCACTATAATGAAGCACATAATACATTGGGTTTGTTATAGTGAAGTGTTCACAATAATGAAACACATAATACATTGGGTTTGTTATAGTGAAGTGTTCACTATAATGAATCACATAATACATTTTGTTTGTTATAGTGAAGTGTTCACTGTAATGAAGCACATAATACATTGGGTTTGTTATAGTGAAGTGTTCACTATAATGAATCACATAATACATTGGGTTTGTTATAGTGAAGCGTTCACTATAATGAATCACATAATACATTGGGTTTGTTATAGTGAAGTGTTCACTATAATGAAACACATAATACATTGGGTTTGTTATAGTGAAGTGTTCACAATAATGAAACACACATAATACATTGGGTTTGTTATAGTGAAGTGTTCACTATAATGAAGCACATGATACATTGGGTTTGTTATAGTGAAGCGTTCACTATAATGAAACACATAATACATTGGGTTTGTTATAGTGAAGCGTTCACTATAATGAATTGTTTACTGGATGTATTGGTGCATGCCTTCTAATGTGTGTTCAGTCAATTCATTTTAATGGGTTGTTCATATGTAACAGTAACAGAGTATTTCTATGTGCAATGTTCAGAAATACCAAGACACAGTGAAGAATGAGGAACCAACAGTTCCTGTCTTTGGACGATGGCAAACTGAAGAATACGAACCACCACTAGCGGTTGATGGCAAAGTGCCAAGAAATGAACATGGTAATGTGGAGTTATTTCTGCCGAGAATGTTGCCTAAAGGAACAGTTCATTTACAAAGTAAGTTGGATTTTGCTACAATAAACATTATTTCATGTGTGAGATTACATAACAAGACTGTGTTATCTTCTTTTTATCATCATGGCAATGCAATAATCTATTCTGCCATAAAGCTGGCCCGGTCAAACACAAGCACTGGCAGATCTAATTCATAAGTAAATGAATCTCGGTCTGTGGAATTAGCCTTCCTATTGAGTTTGTGGCTCACCCAGGTTAAGGGGCAACCATTTTTAGTCTTCAATCCAAGAAGGATTATCTGTTCTGCCCAACATCTATTAATATGGTAGACAATGTAAACATTGTGCCATGAACTATTAATCACCGGTATTATTTCAAAAATAATTTTAAAAAATATTGTGTGTTAGAAAGTATCATACAATAGTATAATTATAACCACCATAGTCATGCAGTCGTGCATTTCAGAAATCATTTCCATTACTGGTCACTAGAGGGCATATTTCCTCATGATTTGACCCCCAATTCTGGAAATCCACTAATTTTTCTGCTGTATACATTTAAGGATTAGTAAAGTCTTTCAAATATATGAAGTTTTATTGAAGTCTAATAGTTAAATTTAAACTTAAATTTAGTTGAAAAACCTTTCAAGTTTTGGTAACTTGGCCAAAAATCAAATCAAATGGAACTACTTGATAATGTCCAGCAATTGGTAAAATGTGATTCCCATTTTTTTTATTGTGGATTATCAATATGAAGATTTCATCCTATCATGTCAGTTGTACTTTAATAAGGATCCCCACACCTTAATTATTACAATTTGTCCATGTCTTTTCTAGTCTTATTTTTAGAAGTTACAACTTGATTATAGTGTTGACTGCATTTGGTACCCTAGCTTCAAATCAGTGTTGAAAAGTTTTCACAATGATGGTTTTCACACTGATGAGATACACACAATTCTAAATTTTTATCTTACTTTCATTTTAATATAGTGAACAATATTTATAGTGTGCTTATCTTCAAAAAAGCACAAAAATGATCAAACGTATATTAGATAAGGTCAGTTTTAAATTGTTGGAGTTGTGAGAACTTACATGACGGATAGCAGATGGGATATTATTCCAAATTGTGGGTCCAACATAACCAAACACTTTCCATAGGTTTTCTTGTGGCTTCCTGTCAGATATTATGGCTCTGTACCATTGATTGACTGAGTCAGTAGAATTAATATGGGTTTGTTTGTATATACCAACAGTTCCTGGTTTGAATCGTGTTGCCAGAAAGTTAAATATAGATTGTGCACAAGCAATGATTGGATGGGATTTCCATGGCGGATACTGCCACCCATTGTAAGTATTATTGTCTGTGCTGTAAATTCACATCCTTGTTTTCTGTCTCATTAAATATCAATATTTGTTTAACGTTGTTTATTTCATGTCAAAAGTCATTCTATTGCATTTATTTTTTTAGTGTGAAAGAATTTCAATGTATTCATTCAAATTATTTCAAAAATATAATGCCATTTTACAGTTGTATGCGATTCACACGTACATATGAATGCTACAGTGTTTTCATGAAGGACACAAAAGCCATACTCGTGGGCAATTAAACATTATTTTGTTGTTTGCTCAAATAGATTTGATGGTTTTGTTGTATGTGAAGAACATCAAGAGATGTTACTGGATGCCTGGCAACAAGATCAGCAGGAAACAGAAAGAAAAGAACGTGAGGTATATGATACATTACCTTGTACTAATTGAGCAAGTCTCCTTCTCTTGAAAGATTTACAGTTGAATGGTTATCCAATTTCAAGTACTCAAAGATAATCATGGCTGAGACACATTTGAGACAGGAATTCTGTGAAAGTTTGCTAAATTATTTTTTGTGATTGGCTGTTTTAAATTCTGAAGATACGACAATTGTGTACATTTTGCCCATTTTCCTATCCAAAATGTCCACCACTAGGGAAATTGCAAATTATTTCCATGGAAACAAGCTTGGTTACCCCAGATTTTGATTTGTGTTTTGTTATTTTCTGAGATGCTGTTTTCATAATACTGGTAATTAAGATCTCTCTCTATTTGTAATTGATAATACCGGTAGCATCTTTGCTGGGCCTGTCATTGACATTTAACATCATCTAGTCCTCTTTGTTTGATTCTTATCTCCCTGGAAAATCACAAATGAATACTTTAAGGTAGAGATGCAGGTTCGTGGGCACTTAGGAGTGAAATTTTTTTTTTTTGCTTTTTATTATACAAACAGTCTTGGCTATAGACTGTTGAACTTTTGTAGAATTGTGAATAGTGGAACATACTCGAAAAACGATTTTAAAATATAGATAACAGGTGCAAACATTCTCTCTTTTGAATGCTTAGCAAGGTTTAGCAAGGCTGTACATAAATAATAAAAAAAAACATGGTGTAAAAAAGAAATTGCGGGATCTCCATATTATGCACTATATTTAACTTTTAACAAAACGATAATACATTTAAATTTGGAACTGTTACAGTCATTTTAATTGTGAGCATTAGCAAACTTATTAGCAATTATCTCAGCTTCTTTTTAGTGCACATCCCAGAACTTAAAAATAGCTCCTAGACACTTTGACCTTTTGTTTTGAAATTTTCACAAATGATTGACAATGTGTTTATCTTCAAAACGTGGTCGGGGCATTGTTTTTGGTTGAACAGTGTTACAACAATCATACAGACAACTAGCATGGGTGTTAATTTATGCATAAACTTGAAGTAGTGAAATTTGAGCTGCTGTCCTGCAAAATAGGTAGATATTTTCAAGACGGCACTTTCTTCATAGTAAACAGATGTGCCCATAAACCAATTTTGACAGGAAACAGAAGCATGGGTTTGAAGCTAATTTTTTTTTAATCACTTTTGACCAAAAAAGCACATTTTTGTGCATATTTCAAATTACAGTGTCCATAAAAAAAATACTAACAAATTTTTAAAATTCATACAATAAGCTTTCCGAAAATATATAGTTTTGTGGACTAATTAATTAAAATATCTGTCAGGTAAACTGCATCTCTACCTTAAATGGATATATGAAATCCAATCTTTGGGATGATTCATTTTGCTGTTACCAAGGATTTAGTTCTTAGACCATTTATTTTTACTGAACCACTTTTCAGTCATATTCATTCAGTAAAACTCTTATGTAGTTCAATATATACCAGTATGTAAAATTGAGAAAATCCACCCAGCACAAAACTAAAATAAATTCTAAGTAGACATAATGCTAAAGGACTCATAAAAGTTACACATACTGGTAGTTTCTTGGAGAGACAAATTCACTATAAATTAGATTTTTCTTGAATATTTTAAAAAAAAAGGTTATCCATTGAATTTTAAAATTTGAGGTGTAATATTGGAAATTACCACGATAATACTAGTACCCCCAGAAATTACTTGGATGTATAACCTTACCACGATAATAACCCCAGAAAGTACCAGGATGTGTGACCTTATCATGATAATAACCCCAAGAAAGTACCAGGATGTGTGACCTTATCATAATAATACTAGTAACCCCAAGAAAGTACCAGGATGTGTGACCTTATCTCCATAATACCTCAAGGGAATAAATGACAGTAGTAACTCAGCCAAGACGTGTCATGTCATCTAGGTTTGGAACATTCAGTTTTCAATTTTTGTTTTTATTTTACAGAAAAAAGAGAAGAGAGTACTGAAACACTGGAAGCTATTAATTAAAGGATTACTAATTAGAGAAAGGCTGAAGAAACGATTTCAGACAGAGGATAACTTGGTGCTGCCATCAACATCGAGTAATGTCAAAGAATCAGCTGCTCCAGATTTACAGATGTCATGGCCTCTCAATAAACAACTGCCAAAAACTGATCAAAATAATTTATTTCCATTTGAGAAACTCTAACTGTGCTTACATATCTAAACCAATAACTTTAATATACATAGTCAGAAAGGAAAACCAGTCACCTTGGTAATAGTTATTATGGAATGCATGGAAGGCAATCACCCCAGAACTTCTTTTATGTACTGATGGTAGCACAACTTTTAATCATAAAATGAATGTGGATATTCACCATGTTGAGTTTCATTGAACTGATTGAGCTGGTGATTTTACTGTAATACACTTCGCTTCAGTTAAAACTGATTGTATCAAAACAGAAACAAGTACCATTGACAAGGTTGACCTGCCTCACATCAGCACTGGAGAGCAGTACACTGATCTTTAAGATACTCGCTGGTTATACTATTTTTCCAATAAATAACATATTATAATGAATTAGTTTGTGCTTTTTTTATTTGAATCTAAGAATTCTCAAATTTTAATACATTCTATCTACATTTCTCACGGCATAGGCAGTGTTTATATATCCCATTCAATATTCGTGGAAAGAGAAAGCTGAGAAATTTACCGATTTGGGGTTTGTACATTGCGAAAATATAGAATACCCTAGTTTAGCTAATATCACATAGATTTGTAATCACTTTGTTTTTAAAAAAAAAAAAAGCCACGAACACAGGTCTTGGCGTAGGGGGTTGTAACACAAAGTCAGAATGGGATTTAGAATACATAAGCTTGACAAAGGTTCAGTGGACATATGTTGCATATGTGTGGCTAAAGAATCTGAGGACTGGGGAAGCCCTATTCCTCCAAAATAATTTGCATGTGGAATTGCATGGCTGCAGTGCCACACCTGTCCCGTCCCTTTGAGCAGCAAATGGTGAAATTTGTCTGAGGATAACTATATACAAGCTATTTGGCCAGCGAGTACATAATTGAAATCTCCCACTTTAAATAAGAGAGAACTACAACAGTGATTGGATTCATCCACAGATTGCTGGGTATGTGTTGCACAGGTAGATTTAGAAACTGACATGACAGATAATTGTCCAACTAAAAAAGTTTTAGAAGCAGAAATATGCCAAGATTAACTTGTCACTGGCTGATGCATGCTCTACCTCACCCAGTGGTGCAAAGCACTGACATGGATTTTGCAGACTGCTAGGAGTAGCAGCCACCCAACATGGCTAGTGGAAACTACTTGGTAAAAGCCAAGTCTTCATGCTGACACCAAGCAAGTGTCAACCACCTCCCTGGGTGCACGTCAGATCCAACAGGAAGACCAAACCCAAGATCCATTCACTAAGTATGTAACTCAATGAGATCCTTTGTTAAATATGTTGATGTAAAGACAGTGCATTAACTTTTAATAATTAATAGGGAGTTTCACAACTGTCATGTGATCTCAAAACAAATATTGTTGCGGTGGAAAAATGCACGATTACCGATAACACATAAAATACACGCATCTCAACTTTATATATTATACTTTATTGTTTGCTCTAAGAATCTTAAAACAGTTTCAACTTTTCAGAAAAGTTTAGGTTTTTTTTCGTCTGGGACACTGAGAAAGTTAACATAGCTAGTTTTTAAAATAAACATGTTTTCAAAGTGACACTGATGTAAAATATTTGTGGGAGGGGCTGTGAAAAGTACAACAAAATACATAGATAACACCCATGTGTTCGCAAAATAATTAAGTAGTTTACAGGATCTAAGTATTGTAAATATTAAAAAAATTATGATCACTATGGGTTTTTTTTTTTATATAAATTTCTTTAGCTTTCTTAGATAAAAAATAAATACTTATATAGCATGAACTGAGATATACCTACAACAATAATCTCATTGGAAATAGCAAAGCATTGCACACAAACATGAACACAAAATAGCTGCCAGTATCACTTGCACTATGTCATGTAGCAGTCATGCCTACTGAACAGCCATGGGTTGGTTATCAGTGTGCAAGTATATAACTTAAAAAAAAACATGAAAAAGTTTTACGCTAAATTTTAAAATACAGAGATATACATAAAAGTTTGGTCTAGAATCAAATCTGCTAAAAAAAAAAATACTGAACACAAGTCAGCATGCTGCATAAATACTCATAACCCTGGCATACATAAAACAATTCAATGTAACAGATTATGAGTAATTAATAACTAAAGATAGGATGAATGTTTTACTTCCTTTGTTGCTATATATTGTAAAGTCTCTACTAAAGAGTTCATTGGTCAAGTCATGGCTTGTAATTTTTTTATGCCATTTTATTTCCCAAGTTACATAATCAAAAATCGATTTAATATATCAGACCATTCCTTCTTAAAACAAAGAAGAAAACAGCATTTGTATTCTCTGTATTTTAAAACAACTATGACTATAAAATAGTTCTGAAATGAGTGAAAACATTTGAAATGTAATTCAGAACCACATGGGCGTGATAAAACACTTGGGTTGGTTTCAATATTTGTTGTATCAAAGACACTAAAGAGAACAAATAAAAAAATATTCCCTAGTGTAACTGGTTAAAAATGTCCTGGACACAATTTGAATTTACATTCAAAGACAACTTTAAAGACCCTGGGTAAACTGATGAAGCAGTGGTACACAAATGGCAATATTACAGTAGGATCAATTATTTGGATTCATCAGGTTCATATGCATATAAGCTTTTAAAGTTGTTGGCTTCCTGTTGAAAATATGCATTTGAAATATTTCTACTGGACTGGTACATGTACTCCTAATGGGTAATACTGGCCTTATGAAGGAACAGGTAACCACATTTATTTTATGCATTTCTCATGACAATTGCTCAAGCCTCGGCAATTCTCTATATCCATCAAATCTATGACATGTACTCTACCATGCAAATACCTAAACTGATTGACAACCAAACGAGTACCAAATTTGTTCTACTAGTAGTGCATGTTCTCACAGAAATTATAAAGTTGGCTATGGGCAAATACTTTAATGATCCAGTACATAATTTGGGGTTTAAATGTGCTTTATTGAAGATGTGCTTTAATAACGCGCAAATATGGGTAGAGTTATGACATGTGTTGGTGGTTTATTTAGAGCAGCTACCAATGATGATCAAAAGCATTTTTTTTTTCTATTTTGTATTTTTAAAATGATTTTATTTTTGTATTGAGACTGTGGACTATGTCTTGAGAATCAAATGAATAAATATGGCTACCCTTACAAACTTGGTCACTTTAGAAGGATGGGGAAAAAACATGTAGCATAATATACATCTGGCACGGCCTCAGTCAAACTTGTTTTTTGTCTTATTTGGTCAGACTTAAAGGATAATTGTTATAAATAAAAATGATTGAATCAGAACACAGTTGAGAATTCATATCCTAACAATACATGTAACTTTGACGGATAAAAAAAAATTATCACAAGAGCCACTAAAAATGAAGAACATCTGTGGGCAAGTTACAGACAGCATAAACAAACGTACACATTTTTAATAAAAAAAAATTTGTTCATAAAAGTTGGCAGTCATTTTTATCAATATATCATTTTTTTTTTGACTAATGTGACAAGACAACGCAACCAACAGTCTACCCTAATAGTACAGGACAGCATGATAAATAACACAAGTAAGTTTTTTTTTTGTACAGTATTGCTAAGTTTTCTATTAATTTGAGAATGGTAGACTGGTTGATTTTGTCTTTTTTTTATAATCATCTTTGAAACAAAAAAATTTGCATTTGTTTTCTGGTTTATACAAAATAGGCGGATAATTAAGTATACAAGCACTCTGTTGATTTGACATGTAGAAAGCTTTACAAGAACACGAGTAAATAATGTTAACATTTATTATAGAGACACAGGTGGGAGCAATGAAAAACACTGCATCATTGTGCAGTAGGTATGGTGGACTTTTAAAATGCTATGGCAGTTTGCAAGAAATACATGTAGTACACATGACAATGATACATACACAGTGAGAAGCCACTACTTAGCAGGGTAGTAGTTGGCCCAGTAATCTGTATATTCTACAGACACTTATTGTTCATGATTGCTTGGAGTACTGAGCCGAGTTGAATCTTTTCAAAATCCAGCTTTCTGGACCCTAAACTAAAAAGTGCTAGCTACAGCTATGCTGAATGGCTAATACACAAACTAATGAATATTCATAAGTACATCACATGAGGTTATAATGCATTTTGATTTGTTAAACATCAACAAAGAATACTATTGCAGCTTCAGTTCATGTCCTCTTATCTCAGTTTCATCTCCATGGCCATTGCTGTCCACATCCCTTTCACCATCTTCTTGAATCTCCATCTCCCTCTCGTCTTGGATCTCCATTTCTCTATTATTGTCATCATCAATGTCTCCTTTCTGCACATCATCTCTATCGCTGATAGATTCTGGCCTTGGTTCCATTTTAACTCGTCTCCCACTATCAGACCTGCAACAGATTGAAACCATATTAAATCAGTGTATGCATGTTACCCGTTCCATCAGACAGAATAAACCTGTGTTTAATATATAGAAATGATGAATGAATACTGTAAAATGACTAATTTTCACTGGGTTTAAATTTCACTGATTTACCATTTCAGGCATATTCAGTGGGTTTTAAATTCACGGTTTTGTCATTTAGATAATGTGTTCTATGCTAAATTGTACATATTCACTGTGTTTTAATTTAGCGCATTTTTCCAGTCAGCGAAATAAGCTAAATTAAAACCCAGTGAATAATTACCCCCTTTACAGTATACAGAAATAATATAAAATTGCAAACTTATTTAAGTGTGGATTTAAACTCAGGTATTCAGTTACCCTACCAATATTACCATAGGAGGTTAGTTAATTGTCTGAATTGCCAATCATTAATATGATATAAAATTAATATGATTCTACTCTCTAAACTTATATGTTGAAATATATCATTAATTTTACTTACATGTTAAGTGGTTCATTGTCAATATCATCTGTGGCAGGATTATTACTCAGATCACTGTTTTCAGCTTCGTTACTAGCATTCACAGCTGTATTACTTAGTAATGGCAAATTGCTCTCTGCAAGTGCAGCCTAAAAACAAACACAAACAATGAAGTTTCTTCCATATCTCATAACAATACATGATAAATTCAAATATAAACAGATCATGTTGTAAACAATTTTACTTTTGTAAGAAACAGGGAAAACCTGGAACTTATTTGGCTGCAAGTCTATGCTTAGATTCCTGGGTGAAATAAAGACATAATGATACTACCGGGTAAATGTGTACATCACAACAGTGATTCAATGACTTAATTATCACATGTGCTGGTTTAATAAACCTTAGACAAAACAGGCTGACGAGATCTCAAGATCCATGCAAGTTGTTTTTGTTCCTCAAATAGCGTTCCATTCCCACCCACTGATCACATCCACTGTTCCATTGATCAATAACCTTGGTATTTGGAAGAGTTATGATGTCATATGGATTAAGCAACCACTCTATCCTCACTAATCACTAAACTGAATGATGAATTAGGGAACACATCTTACCTGTATACTAGCATTTAAATTTTGCCCATAAGTATGCAAAGAAGTTGGACTGTTTTCAGTTTTCATTGGTGTACCAGGTCTAGAAGTAACAAATTGGAGTGAGTGACCTGGCATATAATTTAGTTTTTTCAAAGTGATACAGATAGTTAGGTTCCATGATCAAAGAGACTGTTATTCTGAATGAAATTTGTTGTATTGCATTGTACAATACCTACCCACTTATCTTCTGTGGTCTTCGTTTCTGGTACTCCATCTCATCCACTGTCCACACTGCACCTTTCACATTCTCCACTCTCACAAAACATTTATGGAGGCTGAGATTATGTCGCACAGCATTCTGGGTAATACAAATATAATACAATCTTATCACTCTGTATGTCACTCTATTTGTTTGTTGAATAATATTCGCATGGGAGGTTTACATGTTATGAATTGGTAGACCATTACTGTTATAGGGCCTCTAATTGTTACCTCAGTGTCAGTCAATATTCTGTTTTAATGATTCTCAGAGCCACTGAGGCCAATAGTTTCTCCGAGAGTCTTTAAAAATTAAAATGATAGTGACAAACACTTTAGTAACTATATGTTGTTTTATACGAAGTAGATAAACAACGCATATTAGAACTACTTAGAACACAGGATTTTCATTATTGATTCAGAGCCAGGAATTAGTTGACAAAGTTCTTTCATCTGTGTGAATATGAGGTATAATTATGATGTTTGTAAGATTATTCAAGCATTGAAGTGATCACAAAATGCACTAGAATTAAAAAGAATTCTGAGTATTGCAATCCCAACTTGATCCCACAACAGACGTCAGTCCTCCTATGATGCAATTCTGTTGAAATCAAATAACTCGTTGCTTACTTTCCACGTTGCAGCATTTCGTCGGAAATAGGCAAACGTTCTAGTAAACCAGTTATAAATTTCATTCAATGTGAGTTGGCCATCAGGTGAATCAATAATTGACTGTCGTATTAATGCAGCATAAGTGAAAGGTGGCCGCACATCAGCTGTCTTATAAAACTCACAGTTACGTTGAATTTCTACAAAAGATAAAAAACAAAGAAAAAATCAGGATTATATTGGACAAACAGCAAATTAGCATGCACAACAAAAGTTTGAAAGTGTAGCAATGCATACAACCACACGCACTACACTGCAACAGTGTTGGAGAAAAAAAAAGTATTTTTTGGAAGAACACAAATAGACAAAAAATTCAGTTATTACTGTTGTACCAGATTTTACAGACATTTGCACAACATTTCGATGAGAACATATCACACAGTAAATGGGAAAAATATTTAGAACCACACCACACCACTTTTCAGGAGTATGTAATTCTGTCTTGTTCCTCTCAGCAAAATGATGTATAATAAGTGAGGTTATTGTTCTGTTGCGAAAGGGAGTAGCATGACTTACAGAACTTATATAGAACTGAAAGAACTTATTTAAAGAAGGTAATTTGACATCTGAAATCATAATATATACAACATGCAGAATTTGAATTTCACCTCCAAAACAACAATACTGAACAGAAAGTATACATTTCAAACTGTAGATTTGAATATTGTCACCGAGAATGACTGGAATGCGCTTATAAAATAATATTACCAAACATACAATTTCAGCAAGCAATTTCAAAGTTTCATTTTGGATGAAAAAGTAAATGTATCCATGTATTCTCAGTAACAATAATGTAACCTACATCATTTGTACATGCTATGGACATAGTATGAGGTTTAGTAATGAAAATGAGGAGTAATTGAAAGATGTATTGACCTATCTCATATGTTGAGCTTGATGATAATTGGCTGACCATATCTACAAGAAAATGACGAAAATACAAGTCACTTTAGAGTTTCAATTAACAAGGCTACTATTAGTAGTCGAGGGGATTCACTTTCAAATCAAAATAATGACATAAAGTCATTGAAAAAAAGAGAAATGACACTCCTATCACATGTAGACAGTATCAAGACATCTTAAGAGATCATGTGATTAGAATGATGAAACACACACAAAGAAAAACATTCTTGAGACACATCTTACCTGATCCCAGCGATAGACAAAATTTCTCTGAAAGCCTCCTCCTGATTGGTCCCACAGTGACATTTGGCGGTGGTGTGTGAAGAGGAGTACTTGTGTCAACTGACGGTGGTGGTGGCGGTGATGACATTTGTACATGCGTTGTTGGTGTACTTGTTGTTGTCATGGGTGTTGCTTTTACAAGACTGACTGGCAACTAGAAAATAATAGTAAGAATAAAATAATAAAAAAATAGTAATAACAACAAATAATTTTCCAATAAATGTTTACTTAAAAGGGATTATACCTGTAAACAGTTTAATTTTTGTTGATATCAAACTTTATTATTTGAATAAATGGAGGTGAAATTTCATGAAAGTCTTAAAGATCTTTATGGAATGATTACTATTACAAATTGACTCTCGAAAATTTACCGATAACTAAAATTGAGTGGCAGACATAACATCATAGGTTTGGCCACTTTTAACAGTAGTGAGCATAGCTTAATAAAAAAGATGTCACACGAGTATTTGTGAGAAAGAGTATTAACATTAATGCTTTGATATTAAATACTCACTGGTTCTGGTTGTTTGGGTTCTGATGGCTTCATATGCAGGTGAGCCATCATGGCAGCGAGACGCTCTCTTTCTTTTTGTAGTTGTATTTCTAGTTGTTGTACAACGTTCATTTGAACTCGTGCCTGTGCTGTACTTCTATCATCTAACGAGTGTTCAACATTTAAGTGTCTGCAGTGGAGAGAAAAATGAATTGAAAGCGTAAGAAAAATATAATCGTATCTCATTTGTGGACACATAATAAATCAGTTTATAAGGCAAGTCTGTAGAGACAATGTCTAGTTCACTAGAATGTGACTATTTTGGTCCCCAGTGTCGTAACGTAAAACAGACAATACTCTATTGACTACTGTTGAGGGTGTTAAATGCTTCTTTCCACAAATGACTATATTCACCTGGTCAAAAAAAATCATTGTCATTTATCATTCTTTTTAACAATTAGCTTGAGATACTTATGGCAGTTGCTCAGCCTTGTTGCATAATTACTGTGCATTAGTTATATCTTTTATGCTTGAATAAATATATGAATTTTAACATAATTAGTTTCTTTCTGTGTAGTTTATTACGTATTAGTAAAACATGAATAATTATGACGACCAGTAATTTTATACTTGGCAGCTTTATTTTCAAGTTAGTCATCAACAAGTCTAACCTGGTTCTCAATGGTCACTAGGGAAAAGAGCTGATGTCAACTTACTTGAGAAATGCTTGAAAATCATCACACATAGTTTCACAACCCGGCCACTTACACATGCCATGGTTATACAAGGGATGAGTATTGGGATTGGCTGCATTCTCTTCGGAAGAGACTCTGAAAGTACAAACATAGTATTTAGATATGGAATTTTTTTTTGCAACATTTTAATCAATATACAATAATAACATCAGCTCAATGCATAACCAAGTACTGCATAACACATCAACGGCTGACGTGAAGCTACCACACTAATGAACAGAATCTAGTTGTACATCAACAGAAGACCAAGTAGGACTGTACTTACAAGATGCCACTGGGAGTGAGTTGGGTACCAGCTGGCAGTAACCCTGGATGAAGTAATGCCCCTTCGGGAAAACCATTAACTGAAGAGCGAGCACCAACAGCTGCAAGAGTAAGTGCATTTACACCATTGGCACTCTTTGGACTGTCTTCACTTCCACCGGATACTTCTTTCCATAGCTGCTGGATTTCTGCCTGTGTCATGCCTAGTATCGAATAATATTGAATGTCAGCATGGATGTAAACGAAGTACAAGATAAGTTTTGTAAAATGATTTATTATATCCTAGCATTGTTAAAGGCATAAATGTCTGCCCCTGTGATCACTCACCTTGTGGCAAATGTTGTATTGCAAACCCCTGGCCCTGTTGCAGTAACATGTGGCGCTGCTGTGCTTGAAGTTGCTGCATAATTTGATGTTGCAGAGCTATTGACTGTAATTGCTGCTGCTGCTGTTGCTGTTGTGCTTGCTGTTGTTTGGTTGCCTTATCGCCACCTCCACCAGATGCCACAACAACTTGTTGTTGCTGCTGCTGTTGTTGTTGTTGTTGCTGCTGCTGCTGTTGTTGTTGCTGCTGCTGCTGCTGCTGCTGTAATAACTGTAGTTGCATCTGTTCTTGTAATTGATGTTGGATTTTTTGTTGGTGTGCATTCTGGGGTTAAAAAAAAATCAACATTCAATCCGTTTTCCTTCCTTCCTTTATACCATTTTAACTAACATAATTAAGCAGCCAAATCTGTGTTTTCCACATAAAATTTATCTTATATGTTTATATTAGAAGCAATGATGACATGCATTATTTGTGGCTGTTGATTTGTTCACGATTGACCATCTGATGTTGTGCATGAAAATAATAACCAGAGTTCAGCTCAAAATGGTAGGTTCATGGAAACTGTTTTAAAAATTAATCTTTATGAAACAAAGCTATAGTTTTATTCCTTTATCTATTATATTGACAAGTCCTATCTAGAATCTCTATCAGAGTCCATGTTGTGTACTACTGAGCATGGAAAGTAAAACAAGGAGAAAGAGAGCGCTATTGTTCCCCTTGTTTTATGATCGCTTTGATCAATTTTTTTGGTAAACATTCTCGTAATGTGATTACGTGAATAATTAGCATTCACGTCGCTTGGAAGCAGTTTTACGAAGATAAATTGATACCAAAATCATACAACATGACCAAATCACAGGTCCTAGCAAAATATTTGCAGTGTTTATGTTAGATATGGTATTTTAACCAAAAATCATGATTCCAACCAGTTTTGTTGAGTAAATGAGTGATGAAGGGTAGAAGGGTTGAAATAAAAAAACAAAAAAAAAAAAACATTGGCGATAAGGCATGAAACAAAAGATAAAGATGTAAATCTAGATTAAAACTCATTCTCTTTCCTATAACTGGTATCTTCCAATCACTGAGCAACTCATTAATCAAACAGGGTAATATAATATTTGTCATTTTTGTGGCTTTATTAATTTACTAATTAAATAACTTACTACTTTTTAAGCTAATTAACCTAGCTCAACAAGTTGAACACAATAACAATTCAAATTAAATTTGCAATGAGAGTGGAGTCAGCTAGAAAGACATCACCATCTTCCCACTCACGTCATGTTATGTGAACGTGTTAACCACTAACAGGATTCCTGTATTCATTGTTATAATGATCATAAAAACTTCTGTGACCAATGTTTTGACGTTTAGTAAAATGTAGATGGCTTTTAAAAAATTTAAAGATGTTGTAAAATTATATTATACCATAGAAAACACAGGTCTAAGGTCTTTGATTATACATAATGGTAAGATTTATTAATTATTGAAAATACATGCAAATATGCAGATTCAGTCATAACAATACAGGTTGTCAATTCTTTAACCACCGTTTTAAATATGTTCCATCAATGATAGAGCTCTGAAATTTCTGTTGAATAATTAGATACATATAGCTATGGATTCCATAAAGTATGAAAAGTTCATTCTGATGTCCTAAATCCTTACTTGGATCCATATTCAGTGGACTGCAAACTTCAAAGAAATCTAAAAACTTTACTATCTTAGGTTGAACTTCATGAGAATTATAGTGTATGGACAACAGTGGCCTCCCTAGCATATGTAAGTGCTTTACACAATAGCATTGACAGCTGTTTAGTACCGGTATTTGTACAGTGTGTTAATCAGGTGCTGTAGGTATCAATCTAACCTGCTGTTGAAGTAATGCCTGCTGCTGAGTTTGTATAAGTTGTTGTAATTGCTGCGGCGTCAAGACTTGCTGCTGCAATAACTGTTGCATCTGCAGCGGTGTGAGCTGCTGTGGTATGATAATAGTCTGTTGGGCTGGCTGCTGCTGAAGCTGTTTATCTCTTACTGGTGTGGTGGATTTTGTCGGAGTTTTAGGTGCTGCATGCATCAATACCTGCTGCATAGCCTACCATAAATAAAAAAAGAAAATGCATTTCCAGTTGTTAAAACTAGACCTTTTGCTCAATGGAGTGTGACTGCTGTATACATTCATTGCGCAAGCATAGGATGAACAATAACTGTAAGTCCCTCAAAGCTGTCAAAATCATTAAAACAAGCTAAGTTTTTAAGAAACGGAATGCCAGTTCTCATGCAGCATACTTTTAAATTTTGTGTAAACAAAACAAAATGTATTTTACTGGTAATGTACACGTTACATGGGACCCATACTAAACAAGACACACTACAATGGCTATGGTGCTGTCGCTAATACTCTTCTGTGAACAGGTACAAACGCAAGAAAAAAATTGTTATGTTTCCTAGTAAATATCCATTGTCTGTATCTTCCATCTGTTCAATTGGCCAGTAACAGGGGACTCCCAACTTTCAGGTTTGTACATACTTGATGTTTTGGTTATATGTGTTTGGAACACAACTCATCAAAACACATCTTAACATACATACAAACACTCCCAAGATACAAAGGTCATATTATTGTTTTAAAGATTTATACCTTTTTATGATTTCTTTGGTCAAACAAGCCCTAAAGAGATTACAAGGGTCACTGAATGTTATCTTTTAGTATAGATAGATAGAAGATAGAATTTTGTTTATTTGGAATGTACCAATGAAATCTTGAGTAAAGTCCAGAAATAACAATAACAAAACAAAACAAAATATTCAGAACAACAAAAACTTACAGTACTAAAACATATCAAGAATATAGAAAATAAA